TATTGAAAATTTTTTGATCAGTTAATATAACTATATTATTGTAAAAATACCTTTGATCATTCTAGGTCTTTTGGACTTTATTCAGTAACTTTTAGGATCCATTTATCAGTTTCTTTAATTAAATCCACTGGGTGGTGACAGGATTTCTGTCTTTTGCTCTTTCTCTTATATATCCAAGAATCCCATTATATGAATGTTGAATATTTAGCCTTACCTACTAATATAAGTGTTTTCATTTGTCATCATTGCTTTTTCCTCTGTGCTTTTTGTTTTTTAGATTAATCTGTTTTTAAGTTCATTGCTTCTTTCTTATGTCATGTCTTTGTTGAGTCTATCTTAGGATAGCATTTGTGTTTGATTGTTATATTCCAGAATTTCCAATGACCTCTTTGAGTAGCATATTTTCTACTGAGATTTTCTCATTGTTTTGTGTTGTGATATTTTAATTGACTGTGTTACCATGTTCTGGGGTTCTGCAATTTCGTTCTGGAAGTGATTTCTAGGTTGTTTCTGTCCTGGACAAAGAATTGATCAAGGCAAGTCCAAAAGATAGTGAGGTTTTACATTTATTAAAGGTAGGTAAGGAAACATGTTCTTCAGAGCAGAGTGGGCCAATGAAAAGAAGGGGAAAAAGTAGGCTCTGTCGGGCGAGAGAGTGGGCATAGTGGCCAGAAGGTTAATGGCAGCAACCTTTCATATCTTCACTTCTTGGGCTGATTTCAAGGCTAGGCCTTCCTAACAAAAGTCTGCCTTTGTTTCGTTAGAAGGCTTAGGCCAGTTCTTCTTCTTTTTTTCTTTCGTGGTACTGGGGATTGAACTCATGACCTCACACTTGCCAGGCAGGCACTTATGCCACTGAGCTAAATCCCCAGCCCCAAGGCCAGTTCTTTGTGACTGGTACCAGTTGAGCTGTTTTTTTATAAGCTAATTGGTCACTAGAATGTCTTCTGATGGACACAGGTCCCTTGAATTTCTGTGATTTCCAGGTCACATCTGCTTGTGCAGCCAAGTTGCCATGTCCAAATTTCTTTCTTCAATTGAACACAAATTAAACTCATTGTCTGTATTGTCTGATTTTTTTCTCTTATGCATGGGTCATTTTTTTTGAATTTATGTAATTTTGGTTGAAAACTGAATATTTTATATATTGTAACAGAGAATATATTGTTCTGAGGGTGAGTTTTGATTTCTTGCGTCTTTTTTATTTTTGCATCTTGTCTGGGTTTAAAAGACAAAATTCCCTCATCATAAAGACTGCTGCTGATGTCTCTGCTTAGCATTTTATTCCCACTGTTCCTTTTTGAGCCTAGATTCCTAAGGGTTGGCTTTGTTTTGGAATAAATTAGTGATGAGCCAGTAATCTGGGTAAAGGTTGTACTCAAACAATTGCGTTGCATGACTCCCATCTTACAGCAATGAGTGCACTCCTGGCTTGAGACTCATGTTCCAAAGTCAGCAAGCTCTCAAGTCATCTTTAACTTTAACTAGCTCTTTTAGGTTTCCATTTTGTGTACCTACAGTTTTCCAGTTAACCACAGAGAAGTAGAGCACTTTTATAATCTTTCAATGGCGCTTTCTCAGGATCTTGTCACAGAATTTCTCTCTGGACATGCTCGGTCCGAAAGCGTACTTTCAAACTAGGCAAGCTGCGAGCCTTTCTCATTTTTTCTCTGTTGTGTTTGCCAGTGCAGTGTTTCCTTCCACCCTAAAGCATGTCTCTTCCCTCTGGAAGCAAAATTGTTGATTTTGTGCCCTGCCCTGTTTTGATTATCAAATGAATCAGGGAGCTAATATGGATGGGAATACCCTCAGGCAAGAAGGTCAAAGACTCCTGTTGTTTTTACCCTAAACCATAGCAATTTTCAAGAACCAACGCTTCTCAGTTTGCAGCTTGCCTTTTGGTCCCTTTTCAGTGACACTTTTGTGACAATTTTGGACAGTTTTATACACAGGATTTTCTCACTCTTTCATATCATCGTAGCTAAAAGTTTCTCCTAGGCCTGAAGGTACATTTTTAATTTACAAAATCTGTATATTTTAAGATATGCTTTCTACTTTTTTTTCTCTTCTTGAATATACATGTCTATATATTTATGGAATAAACCTAATCGTTTAATGTATGTAAATTGTCTATGTTATCCATGGGAAACAGTGGCTCGAATTCCTCATAGTATTGTCTAATTCATTCCATTAACTCTAACGAGAGAATACTAATAAAGATGCATTGCAAGTTGAAGAAAGAAAGCCAACAGTGTATAAATTCACATACATCTCTAATTGAAGAGCAAATAAAGTTTACTTGATTAATTTGATTTGTGTAATCTGTAATCCTCATGCCATAATTCAACTTTTACTATACAAAAGCAAATTTGCTGCTTCATTTCCCAATTGGAAAGACATTCTTAGCAGAGTAAGTTTGGTGATGCTACCTTATGAAACATTTTATGCTTCAGGAAAATATTTTCCAACTAGATGTGTTGGCACACCCTGTAATCCCAGCATTCAGGAGGCTGAGGCAAGAGGATCATCACGAGTTTGAGGGCAGACAGGGCTACCTAGTGAGTTCAAGCCTGAATTACATATAACACACTGGCTTAAAAACAATTTGTTTGCTAATCATTGTTCTAACAGTATCACCTAGCAAGTCATATCATCGTTACCATTATCTCTAACTTCTGTTCAAAGTGATGCTTTACCTTTATGATATTAGGCATCAAATATGTACAAAATGCTCATATTTATTTGTTACATGCACAATTTTTGCATTAAATATGTAAGAAATTACAAAATACAGTGCAGATGAAAAATCATGATACAGATAGTCTCATATGTTACCAGTAGCAACAGCAAGAGAGTATTGGTTTTAGGTGCCTACCAAAATATGCCAAGAAATTGGACAATATAAAACAAATGTATAAATTTCTAGAAATATATAACATCCCAAGACTGAATCATGAAGTTTTAAAAAATAAATAGACCTAAGAATAGTAGGGACATCAGATCAGTAGTCAAAGCCTTCCTGTAAACAAGATCTCAGAACTATATAGGCTCATGGGGCAATTCTGACAAAAATGTAAAGAAGAATTAACACTAATTCTTCTTAATTAAACTCTTTATGAAAATAAAGTGGGGAGATGCGAGATTGGTATGCTTCTCAATTTTTCTTTGAACTTTCATTCCCTTGATACCAAACTCAAACAAAGATATTATAAGAAAATAAATGCACAGACCAATTTATGGAAACAACCTGAAGGAAATTCTTGCAAAGCAATAGCACATTAAAGGATTATACATCATGAGCAAGTTGGAGTTATTTTTAAATAATGCAAGGATGTTCAACATATGAAATCAGTCAAGAGAATATGTCACATTAACAAAATGAAAGACATAATCCACATGATCATCTCAACTGCAGAAAAATATTTGACAAAATTCAATGTGCTTTCATGATCAAAAAGAACACTGAAAGTACTAGGAGTGGGAGGAAATTAACTCAAGAAAATGAAGGGTAGTCATGAAAAACCCTTATCTAACATCTTATTCTGTGGTCAATAACTGAATAGTTGAAAGCTTCTTTCTAAACTTAGGAACAAGGCAAGGGTGCTTACCAGCACCATTCTTATTCATTGTATTATTGGATGTCAGCCAGACCAATTAAGCAAGAAAAAGAATTTAAAGGCATATAAAGCAAAAAGTAAAAACAGTATGACTGCAGTTGATATGATCCTATATGCAGAAGTGCTAAGGCTTCTATGTGGGTTAAAACAAATGTCAGAATTAACAAAAAAATTCAGCAAAGTTACAGACACAAAACCATCACACAGAAACCAATTGTGTTTGTAGAAACTATTAATACAGAGTCAGAAAAGAAAGTAAGAAAAAAATTCCATTTACAAGAGCATCAAACAGAATAAAATACTTAAAAATGAACTTCAGAAAGGCAGTGAAAACTTGTACATTGAAAACCACAAAACATTACTGAAAGAAAAGTTGAATGATATAAATAAATAATATATCCCATTTTCATGGATTGGAAGACTTAATGGTATTAAATTTCTTGCTCAACAAGGAAAACAATCAACAGAGTGAAAATGCAGTCTATGGGACGAAAGACTATTGTGATCTACCAGTACAAGGGAATCCTTATGAAAATGCTGGTGACATTTTTGCAGAAATAGAAAAAAATTTTCAAAATTCATACATCTTTTCAAATCACCTCACATAGCCAAAATAATCATAAGAATGGACAGAATTGGTGGCCTCACACTTCCTAATATCAAAACAGAAAGCTTTCTCTGCAGTGTGCTACAGGCATTAAAAACAGACAGAACAATAGGACAGAGTGAATAGCAGTTCATGTATCTGAGCAAATAATATTTGACAAAGATACTAAGGCTATGGAATGGAGAAAGGATAGTATCTTCAACAAAGAGTTTTGAGAAAACTCAATTCCATCATGCAAAAGTAAAATTGAAATTGATATCACAACATGAAAAAGTTAATTCCACATATATTAGTGACCTAAAGTAAGACCAGAAACTATAAATTTCTTATCAAAGAAATGTACAGAAAACTTTATAACACTGGATTTAGAAATAATTTATTGGATATGACATCAAAAGCACAGGTAATATAAATGAGAGTAAGACTACATCAAACTATAAAGACTTGCACAACAAGGAAAACAATCAACACAGTGAAAATGCAATTATGGGATGAAAAAGGATTGTGAAATCATATATATCGTATTGACAAATATGATAAATTAGCATATATTAGCAAATCATATACATATATGTATATGTGCATATATGTCAATAACTAGAAAATATAACTAACTCTTACAATTTAAGGACAAAACACCAAGCAATCCAAATTAAAAGTGAGTGAAGGAATAAATAGAAGGTATGTGAATGGCCGACAAAGATAGGCAAAGACATTCAACATTATTAACCATCAAAGGAACGCAAATAAAATTACAATCAGATGTCACCTCATACCTGTTGGATCGATTCTATTGAAAATCATAAAATAAGATACGTTGAAGAGTGTGTGAAGAAATCTGAGTCATCATGCATTGTTGCTGGTAACCTAAAGCTGTGCAGCTGCAGTGAAAAACAGTAGGGAGGTTCCTCAAAAGTCAGAAATAGAACTACCACATGACCGAGCAATCTTACTTCTGGGTATTTATCCAGAAGAATTAAAAACATAACTCAGTGTGGTGGCGCACACCTGTAATCCCAGAAGTCTGGGGAGTTGAGGCAAGAGGGTCACTCATTCAAACCCAGCCTGGGAAACAGTGAGTTGTAAGGTTGTCTCAAAAAGCAAAACAAAATAAAATTTAAAAAGAGCTGGGGATGTAACTTAGTGCTTTAACCAGCAACACACATAATTGAAAATATAATTTAAAATGATACCACCTATGTTCATTGTAGTATTATTCAAAATACCCAGAGAGGGGAAAAATCTTAAATGTCCAATGACAAAAAAAAAAAAAAAATTATGAAGGGCAAAGTAAATGTATATTATTCAGCCTTAAAACAGATAAAAAAAGAAATTAGATCATATCCTAGAATATGGATAAACCCTGAAGACAGTACGCTAAGTGAAATAGGACAGTCACAAAGATACAAACATTGTGTGATTTGTACTTACCTAAAGTATCTAAAATAGTAAAACTTTAGAATGGTGGTTTCCAGGTGCTAGCAGGAAGGAGAAAAGGGAAGTTGTTCAGTGGATATAGAATTTAAATTTTGCAAGATGAAAAAACTCTACAGAATTGCCATGCAACAATATATAATATTATTTCACTGTGTACTCTAAAATGACTCAGATAGTGAATTTTATGTGTTCTTAGCACAATTACAGAAAACAATTATGGAAGATTTGTGGTTTTAGCTCGGACATGTAAAGTGTTTAATAGTCGTCACTTTCATTGTTACAGCAGGGAAAAAAATGAGAGAAATTGAACATCATTGATTTCTTTGTCTTGGCTGGCAGAGAACTAAGGTTGCAGGGCAAACGGCCACCCTGAAGCCTGGAGGCACAGTGTATCCAAACAGACACGGCCATAAAGATGAGCAGGACAGGAACAGTCATCACGGGACCGTGAACTGGTAGGAACACTTAAATAGTAAATTTGCTGAATTGCAGGCTGAGTGTGGGCCAGCTTGGGAGCACAAGCCTCTGGGGTAGGGCTGCTGCCTTGGGGAGAAGCATGTTTTTACAGGATCTCCCTCTAGGAATCTGCTACTATCTGACTGCTTATGACCTCCAAATTCCCGTATTGATACCTTTACCTTCAAGGTGATACTTTAGGAAATATGTGTGAATGGCGCAACCCTTGGTCAGTGATTAGATTATGGATATGAAGCCTTCCTGAATGCGATGCAAATAGGCCTAAGGGTGACCCCTTGCTCCTTCTACCATGGCAAGAAACAGCGTGACACAGCATGAAGGTGCCATGTATGAACCAGGAAACTGGCCCTCGTTAAACACCTAATCTGCTAGTACCTTGACTTTAGATTTCTCAGCTTCTAGAGATTGAGAAATGAATTTCTGTTGCTTATACAAACTTCCCCAATTTGTGATATTTGGTTATAGTGGCCTGAATGGACTAAGATGGATCCCTACCTGTTTTTTTTAGTCACTATCTGAAAAAGATTATTATTACAGGAAGGAGAAGGGCAGGAGTCACTAGTGTGAAACACATCCAGAGGCTTCTCTGCCAAAAATCTCTCCAGGTAAAAGGAATTTGCCAGAGTATAATTTTCAAATTGTATGCCAACTGCAGGAAAGAATTTCTTCTTACTCAGACTGCTTCAAGGCTTCCTGTATCATCTAAGATTAAAAAAAAAAAGAAACACACTCAAGGGACTGTGCTGAAAGAAAAATGGACTGGGAACACTACGGCAGAGATGCAGTAGAGGGAAAGGGACAGAGCTTTAGTACGGAGGGGGACAGAAACACATGTAAAGGCCACAGTCAAGGCGCGATTCCACTAAAAGACTGAGGTACCATTCAAAAGTTATGGAACATCCCTCGTCCTCCACATTTTACGGTAACACATAGATAGCATCATCAGAGAGATGGACATTTTGTGAAAGAATGGAAAGAAAGTGCAAGATATGGTCCAGGACAGAATATGTAAATTCGAAGAAGGCCTAATAGAAACCTTCCAAACTGAAATGCAAGGAGAAGAAAAAAGGAAATTACAAGAAAAACCAAAAAATAAAAAACAACCCAATCCAGAATCCTCAGGAACTGTAGGATGATACTAAAAGATAACAAAAGCATAACTGGAATATCTGAAAAAAGATAAAAATGAGTCAGAATAAATGTCTAAAGTAAAAAATGACAGAGAAGTTTAAAAGCTGGCAATAGACCCCAGAACCTGGAAAAATTTCTTATGGCCAAATATGGAATAACTTGGGAAAAATGAAGGAATAATTTAGCAGAACTGTGTGCTGTATAACAAAGGTTTGGTCAACACGGACTGCAAATACGGTGTTGGTTGGGTAAGGTTATAATGCCGCTGTAGGGTTCCTGTTGCCCAGTTTCATCTTTGTGGTCTTAGAGTCTTAGTATTACTCAGGTTAGTGGCATTGATGGTATAACCAAACTGTATGTCATGCACAATTGTGTATGGCCCTTAAAACTTGAAAATAATAATACTAAAGGACTCCCTTCTTGTATTTCCTTTATTGGCACTATTATTTCAGAATATACTTCTTTTATTTGTTTAACAAATGTTTACCATAAAATAGTCTGGGGATGTTGCAGTAGTAGACTGCTTGCCTGTCATGTGAAAAAAAAGTTCAAAAAAGTAAAATAGTCTGCCGCTTTACTACACTGACCATGGTCTCATATGTGTTCTGTTTATCTGATCTTGACTTCAAGCAGTCATGTCATATGGTTGACCTTTCCCTTCCAGTTCTGGAAGGAATGCACTGCCTGTTTGCATAATGCAGAAATTGCCTAATGACATGTGTCCTCATCATTAAGCAATGTATGACTGTATTATACTATCCCTCAAAATAGGAAATAAAATACTCATGAACACATAGTGATAGAAATAAGTATTGAATGACTGCATAAAAGAAAGCGAGCAGACATATCTCCCATGCAGATAGATGCCAAATAAGTTTGGTAGGCAGTTCTGTATTTCTCCACTAGAAAGATGGAACACAATATCCACTCTTAAAGTGAGGGCAGTGTCTAATGACTTTCTTCTAAATGTTGTATGCAAAGGAAGGAAAAGTAACTTTATAGCAGGTAAACTGACCAACACTATCTCACCTGGGTGATCAAAGTTATCAACAATGGTAAATCATACTGACAGCATGTCATCTTCATACGATGTGGTAACAATAGCAATTGATCTCTGTGGTCTTCCTCTCCAAACCCCACTACCCCAGACTAGTCGTGTCAAAAACATCACACCAATTCAAACTGAGGTGGATTCCACAAAAATATCTGACCAGCATCCTTAAAAATCATTGAGTTCATCAGTAAGTAGAAAATACTGAGAACCTGCCACCATCCGGGGGAGCCTAAAGAAACATGATGCTAACCGTAATGTGCTAGCATCTGGCTGGTTTTCTGGGACATAAAGAAGGTCTTGAGGAAAGAGCAGATGAATGTGAATAAATATGGATCTGAGTTCATCAGACACACCAATCTTGGCTCATTATTTGTAACAATGGCATCCTACCTATAGAAGACTAACAATAGCATAACTGCATATCGGTTATAAGAACTCTTTGCACTATTTTTGTGGCTGTCCTGTAGCTTTAAAGTTGTGCTAAACTAAAGTTTAGTTTAAGAAAGAGTAAAATCACTCATACCACATAAAAATTAGTTGTGGACAGGTCAATGTCTTAAATACGAAGGTCAAAATTTTAAAATATGTAGGAGAAAAAAAATCATTTAATATTTTTTGGTTAAGTAATGGTTCTCTCTCTTTCTGTGTGCATATGTGTGTGTGTGTGTGTGTGTGTGTGTGTGTGTGGTGTGTGGTGTGTGTGTGGTGCTGAAAATTAGATGTAAGGCCCTGCACATATTATGCAAAAGCTATTCACTGAGTTACATCACCAGCTGAATAAGTAGTGATTTAAACGTGACATAAAGGTAGAAAATTGTATGCATGAGGGTACATAGATGACAAAATGCTCTGTAGAAAAAGTAGAAATTTTGGTTGGAAATACTACCATTACTGTAAAAAGAGAAGCCACAATTTATAAAAACAATGTAACTTACCAAGATTAATATGCAGTATATTAAAGAAAACCTAGGAATCAATAAAAGTAGGTTCAAGTTCTCAATATAAAAGTGCACAAAATATGTAAAAGGCCATATTATAAAAAAGAAAGAAAATGGCTTATATGTGCCCTCCACGAAGGGTGACTGATCATATTAATAATCTGAGAATTAAAGCTTGAAATGAAATGAGATGCTATGCCATATTTACAAGAATGGTAAAATGAAAAATTTGATAATTATAAAATGTTGACAGGAAGGCTGGCTTAGGGGAACCCAGCTACTGAGATGAGTGTAAATTGCTACCCCCAGTTAGAAAATCATCTCCATAATAGTGAAGCTGCAGATATGTTCTGCCTCCCACCCAGCTACTTCCATTTGAGACACAAACCTTGGAGAACCTACTGCCTCATACATATATGTCTTCATTTGTAGGTGCTTGCACCATATATGTGCAGTCTTCATATACTGAACTATTCATACAGGCATTGATTTTAATAGCAAAGACTTGGACATTTTCTAAGTGTGAATGGGTACATTGTGGTATCTATGTAAGCAGAGAAAGAAACAAATGACACACATGAAAACAGATAAATCTCGGATGTAATTATGAATGATAAAATTCTCAGAAACTATCATTCAAAATGATACCATTTATATAATGTTCAAAAACGCACCCAAAATAATCATATATTATATTTGGAAACATATACACATTACAAAGCCGTTGGAATTCTGAGGTAGTCAAATGTCAGTGTACTTTTGTGTGTGTTTGTATGTGTAACTAAATTTCATGGCTTTTCTTTTTCTGCTTATAGAGTGTCAGTTTTCATTTGTAGAGTATA